ATTTGTTAATGGGGAACTCTTGCCTTAACCAGAATAAGAAGTGACATCTCTCTTCTAAAATACACAATCAAAAAAATCAGTCAGATAAGCACTCTACCTAGAGAAACATTAGCTGGGCCTTAGTCAAAACCAAATGCTTATGACTAAATGAAAGGCCAACAAAGACTGAAATAATTTGGAGAGAGGGCTAGGACTCTATGAGGGAATTGACAAAAAGAATCTGAAAATTCCTACGGCTTTGCACACAGTGATGTGAGCATTATACAACCAGCACTGAAGTAGCACAGCTATGTCTCCATATTTTAGTACGGTATTTGCACGGATTTATGCCATTTTTCTCATATTTTTGGGGTGCACTATAAGCAGATGAGTTCTCTTAAATGAGCTGTCACTGTTGCCAGCTCCAAACATTCAAGAACAGTGGGTCTGTTTCTCCTTCCACCCAGGAATGAGGCTGCTGCTTACAGATTATTGATATTCTGATTGTTTTTAGTTCTCTAAATGTGTTGAAATCACCTTTCCAATACTCTCTGAAACCATGTGGGCTAGAAATAGTCTTTAAAATGAAAACTGGATTTAAAGTAAAACATCAATATTACGAAATGCACCAGGATATTAAGACATTATGAGAACTCATTATGCTATCTCACAGGTTGCTGAAGCTCTCAAATACTCCCTGCTTCAGGTCAAAGGGACTCCAAGCAAGAAAATCCTGGAAGTGCAGAGCTTTGTGGATTTACTAGCTTGGCTCCTGTGTGTCATCCACAGCTCTGCCCTGGGTTTTCTTCATACAAAGTGGTAAATTACTCCAACCTTGCTGTTAAAATGAATTTAGTAACAACATTTTTTTTTCCCCTACCTGTCCACTCCCACACATGTTTGTGTGAAATTTATAAAGGCTGGGTCTTTCCAGCCAGCGGGCGGAAACCTTTTTCGTATGTGTTACAGATAAGTAATCAAATAAGGTGAAGAGCAAACACATAATCAATTCTCAATGGAAAATTCGTTACAAAGTATCTGCAAACCATCCTGAGAGTTTATCTGGGGAGAAAATAAAATCATCTACTTGTGTGAAATTTGTAAGAAACCAAAATTTAGTTCACCAAATAGATTAGTCACTACGATCTGTTTGTTCATCTTTTAAGCAACCAGTGTATGTAGGTGTGCACAGATAATGAATACATACAGCTGTGTCCTCCTACAGATCTATATAGTTGTCCTCCTGAAATACTATTTATCCCCATGACCTTCACACTACCATCTATTACTTACGTGCATAAGAAAAAGATCTTTTTTCCCTAAAATTTTAAAGGTGCATTGCATGGCTACACTTTCTAATGTTTTATAATCACCTTCATTTTCATTTGTATCTCTTTCTGTCCCTCTTACTAAAAATCCACAGGCTTCTAACACATTTTCTTCCAATATTTTCTAATTTATTTCCTTTCTAAGCAAAAGAATAAAATTCTCAAAGAAATGAATCAGCTGTTAACAGCTTTCTTTTTAAGAGATAAAATAATAAACTTAAAATCTTTAACTGGTAGAAAAGGCAAATACAGAATTCTTTCTATGGGGTAAAATTCACACCTTTGAAGAGAGCCAGTGGAAAGGCAAGCACCAGTCAAGCCATGGACACGCCCTGTGCTGGTCTTCTGCATAGGAGTGAATTTTACCTGAAGTGATAACAAAATCAACCTTATTAGGTGGTAGTGAAACAGAAAGGTAACCACATTATTAGTGTGCTAATTTTATTTTATTTTTTTCTCTAAGAAAAAAAATATTGTCTAGAAATACCCACAGTGCCGTGACTATAGAATTACCTTGCAAAAGCTGTCATTGCAGTGATGATCTTACATTTAGAAGCCTCTGAACCTATATGCTAGTTGATGTAATTTCAAGGATAGAATTAAAAAGCATACTTACCTCACGTAATCAAGCCATCTTCCACAATAGGAAACATTTTTATACTGTTTTACATTCCTGGGTTCTGCAAGTGTCAAGATACTCTTGTTAATCAATGCTGGGATAAATTTACTAGCAGCTTACCAAAGCATTTTCATAAGACTCCAATTACCAACCAAGCCAAACAAATATGAACATTGATACAAGAAAGAAATCCCACATCAAACTTGTCAAAACAGGAAGTCAGTAGTGAGATATCAGTGCAAGTGAGGCTGCATAATTTAAACACAGACCTGATAAAGTCAACGTAATATCAATGTACTTTTAAATACTCAACGTCATTTAATAGATGTTTTTATATATATTACTATTACTTTGAAAACCTTAGCAGCAGATGCTAAAGAAAAAAAAAGAATAATAAATGTGAGTATCATACAAGTTGTTAGTGCGTTGCTTGCCAGCATTACACACCACAGTTGTACTAACGTTCGTACTGTGTTCAAATGGCAGCAGTTAGACGCGGCTGGAAAAGGGACAAGATGTACCTTGGAAGATTTTCTCTTGGTTTTGTATTTGCCAATTGTAAATACCTTGTGAAGAGCAATACACTGATCAACCAGCATCAGTATTTCCCTTTTTGCCCTGTTCCTTTCCAGAAACTGTATGTTCTGCTCAAAGCAATCGCTTCACATGCAGTAGCCACGAAAATACTAAGTAAGGCCATTCAGACCTGACAAACAAGAGTAGATGCCTTTTTAACTCTGAAAGGTAATATTGCTGAGCACTTGAAAATTTACGTAGTGTACAAAACCCTAGACATAGTAGACAAAGAGTAACAACACACTTTGAAAGAAACCAAACTCAGGGAGGGATTCTGTCTCTTTTTGTGTTAAAAACCATTTACTGAATTTAATTGTTTAGTAAAGCAAGCATCACACAATGCTTCAAAATTTTAAAATTCAGGGATAAAAGTTTACATCCAAAAAAGATGAATGGAAAATTGTGCTTTCAGACAGTGAAATTATTTATCATACAGGGGGAACCAATTCATCTCACCATCAGATTCTGGTCAAATTTGTTTATGTACTCCGTATATATATATATATATATGCAGTTCATATCCAGGTCCTGCAAAAATCTAAAACTATGTGCTTCACTTCATGTAGCAAAGGCACCTGTGTTATTCTCCCTTTTGGACAAAAGGTGATATTATGTTCCAGGTTTCCTGATGAAGAATACATTGATTTCTGAATATCTCACTCCCATCTCTACGTTGAGTGGCAACACAAACCAGAAGAGAAGGCAGCGCTGTATTCCTGCTTACACTGGAAGAAGTTGCTCTGCAGGCCATTTGAAGCGTCGAACTTGTCACAAGGGAAACCGAGCAGAACTGTGAAGCAGAGGGATAGTAACAAAAGGCTATTCTGGTGTGAGGAGAAATTGGAGTCATTCTAGCTCCACAAGCAGATGTTGCTACTGGATTGACATGTGGAGCCTGCTCCTGCTGGGGACAGGTAAAGTTTACCGCTGGGACAGACGCAGAGCTCATAGATAGTCTGGCGAGGAGCTGAAGAACTGGGTGAGGAGGAGGAGGAGGAAAAGGAACCCACTGGTAGATTTCCCAGGCGGATTGTATCTGCATTTAAAAATATCTACAAGAGAAGGGGGGGGGAAAGAAGTAAATTTCTTTCAGCTTCATGACATAATTTAACGATGTGTTTTGAGGCAGACTCATGAGTTTATAGAAGTATTTTTTTAAAAGAAATATTTTATTACAAATATTAGAAAGGTTATTAGAGACATAAGAAACATATAATAGTAATAATTATTTTTAGAAATAAAAAAGCTGTCAACATCTCTTGTTTCTCTACTGTGTGTAGTTATATGCCCAGTAATACTCATTACTACAGTATAGGCAAATACTTCACCCAATATGTTTATTCAGATACAAGCAGTGTCATACAAAAACATTTTGACAACATAATTGAATAACTTGAATTTTCACTTGTACATTTTATGATTAAAACTTACTCATTCATGGCATTAGCATATCTTGTTCTGGAAGAATTTGTATTTAATAAGTGTGAAGTGATACTAAAGAACATTCCCCAGTGTGTTCCTGTAAGCAGCTGGAAATATGTGCTGAACTGTGCTAAATTGTAGGGGCTTAACAATTGCTACATCCAGAGAATAATTAAATAAGGCTACAGACTCAAATGCATGAAAGAAAGTGTTTATTTTTCCTAAATTAAGAGAAGAAAAGATTTCAGGTTAAAGTCTTATTAAGAAGGTCATCAAGCTATTCCCATTTGTTCCTGAACATTAAATATGATTTTTAAATATTGTCTTTTTTAATCTCCTTCCATTGGTAATAACATAAATCAGTATGAAACTGTAAATAGCTGTAATGTTCATGAATCTGCATGGAGCTCTGGAATGTTTACACTTATGTTACATTTTAAGGGTATTGAATAAACAATGTCATGAAATGAGGTAACTAAAGGAGGAAAAGCCCAAGTCTTCAACCGGTACAAACGGAGGAGTTTCCAGCTGCTTAGAGTTTAGTTTTTGTTTATGGAAGGAGTAAATAAGAGCCAAATTAAGATCAGGTAATGAACTATGAACTTCAAGATGACACGTAACAAATCAAAATAGCTTTAAGCCCTGCAGGTAACAGTATGAAGTTTAGGAAAAGGTGAGTTCCTTAAACACTTACTAGTGCTTTTTATCAGGTATTGAAAATCAAAAGCCAACTTGACACCATTATATCACAATGCTGGCAGTACATATAAAGAATCTGGGGATATATGCCATACATTGCTTTTTTTCTGTAGGAGACAAGTACTATTTGATGATAAAATCAGTGATATATGGCAGAAAAGCAGTGCAGAAACACTACCAAGAGCCTGCTGGAGAGAAGGACAGCAGGCTGGGAAAAAATTGAGAAGACTGGATAAAATCCCATACAAAGACCGATGCACAGTCATGGTACCATTCACAGCAGAAGCATTGTAAATGGCTGTGATCATCAAATGACATATGGATGGAAAGTAGCCCCAGACAATATGACCCCCCACTGTTGTGAGCTCTTCAGATTCCAGAATAAGATGCTGTTATCATTGGGAATTTACACGAACAGGGATGGAAAGGGAGAGTCACAGAGGCAGAGGTGACAACTGCATGGCATGATGCCTGTCCTAATTCGCATCCTGACTGATAGAGAAATTGATTACAAAACTAAAATGCATCTAATCATTATCTTAGTTCTGTAATTTATATGACAAAAGAATGATGTATTTACATACACATACACACATTGCTGCTTTAAAAGTCAAGTATCAGAGACCTGAAATAATCAGGAGTCAAAACCCCCGCAAAAGTAATTTAGATAGAAGAAATGTGGATGGTGTGGGAACAATTTAGTAATGTTCTGCTAGAATTACAATTGAAAAAGAAGATTACATAAGTAAAAGAATTTAGCTCAGCTAGGAGTAAATGTGAAAGTAACCATAGCAAGTATAACAAGAAAGTAAAAGGTAAGGAAAAAAACCCCAGAATTTGGTAGCAAACCATAAGCTAGGAATTAACAAAATGTAGTAAGGAAACAAAGGACAAAATTGTCAGCAGAGTGAAAGGTAACAAGAAGTACTCTTTCACTTCTCTCATCAGAAAAAAAAGAAATATTAACAAGTCCAATATTAATGTAATGATAGCAGAATTATCAATAGTATTGCATAAAAATCCAGTAGCATTCAACAGTGTGAGGTCTATGTAAGTAAATGCTCAGCATAGTTCTGTACTTGGAGAAGATCAAGTACTGGTGTCAAAACATAACTGTCATAAAATGCTTTCAATTTCAGCAGTAATTCAACAGGATATTAAACAGAAGCCAGTAATGTCATATACTTTTAATCAGCAGCTCTTGATAATTTTTAATAAATAGATCAAAAAAAAAAATCTGAGTTGCCTTTTGGACTTTTAATACTGATTTTCAGTAAGCCCTGTTATACTTGGCATATCAAAGAAGACAAGAAAAAGACTATTTCTATGCTTTCGTTTTAACAAAATGTAAGCAGGAGATATGAGAGTATTACATACGTGATAATAAGAGGTACTTCAGTGTAGAAGACACATGGAAGGAAATCCAACAACACAAGATTAGCACTTTATACTCTTGATAGAGCATATGACTGGCCATTTTAACAGTTTATCTGCAGTGGTGATGGCTAAAGATCATGAGAAATCTGTAAATCAAAATTAAATGAGTTGGAAAGAACATGTCTTGATTCCAACAAGAATTAACTCAGGAAAAATCAGAGGGTGCATGTGTCAGAGATCAGGCTAGATTAAAATTTCTTGAACTTCATTACCTGATTTTCTAGGAGCACAATATTTTTACGTGTTTGTTTACCTCGGAAAAGCTACACTGCTGCAATCCCTTATTGCAGATGTTCTGTATTGTACTGCTCTAAGGCTTTAATCCAGTGGACCTTACTCCAGTGTGCATTACAATACCATGTAGCTCAGTTATTTTGCTTATTAAATTAAATGATCTTTTTAAGCATAGCTGTGCCTGCTTTTCCACTTGTGCTTTCAGATTTCATGCTGCCATGTAGATGAACCCATTTTTTTCTGGTGCCCTAATCTGGAGTGGTGGCTCCACCTGTGCCTGCAAACATCCTAGAACATCTGGTGAGCAATGTGGATACTGGATATGGTGTTGGAAAAAAACTGAAGTGGCTTCTTCTGAGAGCATATCTGCTGTGGTGAGTCTAACAAGCTCTATGCCTTTGCAGAAAGATGGGAAGGCTATACAATTTAAATATTCTCCCATAGATAATCCCTGGGGAAGGCTGAGATGAAAAGGATTGACAAAGATGGCTTAAAGCCAACATTAAAATCAACCCGGTACATATGCTGTCAAGGTTATAAATAAAAGACAAAATTTACAAACGTAACACTGCTATCTAATAGTTAAGCCATGGTCCAAATATATCATCATAATAGCTCAATTCATAAAGAATTTCAGAGGAACACAGTCCATGTTTGAGGATATATCCTCTCTGCTCCTATCTGCTTCTAAAAACTGAAATTCATGGCCAAAAAGTCCTCCAACATCAGTAAAAGTTAAACTACTTACAGTTTTATGCCTGCTGTTATGAAGTGTGTAAAGAGAAAGGAAGAAGTGGCAAGACAAAAAAAATGAAGAGTATTATGTTCCCAGGGAACAGTTGCCAGATGACAGTAGTTAATGGAAGTGCCTGTATACACGGTCTTTCTCTAATCTTTTGTGTCGTGAAAGGTATGAGATAAGCCATTTAATACTTCATACACATCAAGGCCATGTAAGCCAGTCATGCTCTTTCTGAGTCTCACACCTCAGTGGATAAATAAGCTGAGACATTGTAGGAGACTGACTAAGATTACAACAATGAAAAGGCAGCACCTACTCAGAGAAATGCTATTTCACATCAGAGAGCAAAGCACTGAGTAGTATAATTCCCTCTAAATACTTAAGGTTTAGAATCACTGCTTTGCTTTGTGCATCTTGGTGCTGAGAAAAACGTATGTCCTATTATATTTAAAAGTAAACCTGATTTCTGATTAATTAAAGTAGCAAACTGGATCAGCCTGTAGATTGGGTAAAGGAATAGTAAAGCTGTACTATTCTATATACATTTTTTGGTAATGGACATCTGCAAGCCATCTGATCATCAGCCTGTGCTGTTAATCTGAATAGTGAAGGGTAAAGGGAGAGGAAGGCAAGGCAGAAAATATAGATTACCTACAAACCAAAAAAACAAATTGAAGGAAAGAACCTTCAGTGGGCAAGATATAGACATGAGGTAAAAAATCAAATATTCCTACAAGCTGTTTCATACAGAGATATGAACCTGCCACGTATAAATGTTCTCCTCTGAGTCCTTGACTAAGTCCTCTCCAGAGAGGAGATGATAGGCTAAACTGAGAAAGCAAAATGAAAGGGTTAGGATTTAGAAACACTAAAAAATTTGATTAGGCAGTTAATTCTACAGAGTTACAAAGGCATATTTCAGGGCTAGTGTAGGTAAGAAATGGCAGGAAACTGGTGGAAATATGGAAGAAAAGAAGGAAAGCTGAAGGTCGGTGTTCATCAACCAGGATGAAGAGACAATGTAATGACATCTCACTAAATAAAACTTTTGGATTCCCTTAGGCTCTTCAGAATTAATCTGAATTATAACAATGCAAGATTTGTCTAGCTGTTTTACTCTTCTGCATATACTATCAGAAGCATACACACAAAGATGATTATATAGATTCAGTCACTAGACCCAATTACATAATTTTCATATGCCTGGATGTTTTAACGTTCAAGGTGACGATGTACTATAGGCTGAATTGCAGTTCACGTGGGCCATTCGTTCTAATACTTATCTGTGTTTTTAACGTTTATTTTAAAATCATTCACCTAAACTATCTTTCATTGAATATGATAGTTTTCATTGAATATGATAGTTTTCATTCAACATGAAAGACAGTTTTGAGGAAAAAAATCATAACGGAAAACTAAAATATTAACTTGATGGCATATATACTATAAAATCTAAACATACGCTGGCACAACATCTGGAACCATCATCTCTCATAATGATGAATAGTATTGAGGAAC